CGAAGATATAAATGTCTTGTTGAAAAATGGCAAAGCAAAGTCAAGAAAGCAATCTACTGCACATGAAAACTTCCTTGCATGGCTCAAGCAATAATTAATGAAATGTGTGTGTTCCTCGTATGTACCCTGGGAATCCCTAATATGCAAGGAATGTCCACTATTTTGTAGTTACCTGTTCTTTATCACCATCACCCTCCAATATGTTTCCATTTACTATATGTGCTGCCTTGTTAGTGATAACACCGGGGTTGAAACTTGACGCATGAGCAAATCTTCTAAATAAATATTTCCTCTCATATCTTGGATACGAAACACAGACATTTTGTTAAGTACATTTGATCGAATTCAGCTTTGACTCACCTTAATTACTTTTATAGGACGTGATGTTTTGCATCAAGGCAATAATAAAATTACACGTTCTTTTTAAGAAAAACATCATAGAAAACGCTACAAAATGAGTTGGAGCACAATTTATTAATAGAGTGAGTTTTAATATTATCCAAACAAAACTAATTATGGTAATTTCCAATTAACGGCTTGAATATTGACGCGCTCTTTTCGTTTAGAGAAATGTGTTCTACTAAAGCCAAGCTTTAACCTCAAAAAAACAGTTCTGGTCTTATAGCAAAACACTGAAAAGAGTCACGCTTGCCAGCAAATAAGTTTGACTTGAGTTTGTGTTTCAAAAGGGTGTCGGTCGACTTGACAATTGGCACCCTGGCCGCAACTGGCAACAGTGGCACGCTGGCCGATTTGAACACGCTGGTTCAGGGACTATGGCACTCTGACTTTGTTCCCTTATCTTACCATACATTTTCTCTGAAGCGCTCAAAATTTTTTCTGCATACACAACACTCTCGCGCTTCGCTCGTCTGGCATGTTGGCAATTAATAAATCAACCATGACCTACAAGAAATCGTTATATTGTTCCTTAACTTGATACTTAACCACAAAAAAAAAAAGAAAGAATTCAAACAGTGAAAGTAAGCAACCTTTTTGCACACAAACGTTGCATTTTGTCTATGATGCCTTCTCGCTCATCTGGTGACCATTGCAGAACCTCAGTCAGCGTTTGCACTTAAACACACTAAATTCATTGTCATGCATGATATTCTGTGGTAATGGACCTCTGATAAAAATGCTTATCTACTATGCTTTGCTGCAAATTTCCTGTCAAGTTTAGCCAAGAGTTCGTGTCACTTATCTTCTGACAGTCAGTGGATGAAACTAGCAATGGAGTTGTAACCCCAGCTCTAAGTCTTTCTTTAAGGGTTAAACTGACCGTAAAAAAAACAACAAAAAACCGAAGAAAACCGAAAAAACAGTGACGGTTGCTCACAAGACAACTGCAATTTTTTTCGCTGTCTGTCTTAATAATTCAAGCGTACCCGCAGGGAACTATTTTAAACATTATTTGTAGTAAACCTTGAATTTTGACTTTGTATGTCTATGTTTCCAAACTCCATTTCCACTGACAACCTGTTATATAAAGTGAACTTTTAAAGAGAATTCAAGATAACCTAGGAAAAGCAGTTGTGTCCGTTATGGTATGAACGACTTGTAAGATTCATTTAAATTAAATATATAAAACTTGGCTAAGCGAGCACAATATTCAGTAAATGAAGTCATGGAAAAGTCTTCCTGCAACAGACCGTGACAAAAAGAGAAACCAATGCAATATTTTAGAATAAAGAGTAGCGATATAAAAACATGACGTTTCGGCGACGACATGTCACCATTATTTGAGAAAAATTTGATTGAAAATTTGAGTGCCTTATTTACGAGATGCTTTTGATAAGGAAAAAGAGACCGACTCTGAACACTCAAAGTGACTCCATTCCAGCGAAACTGTTTATTTAGAATATTTTTCCATTCTTTTGTTTATTCCCGCCTCGTTTATTCTAATGTAATTTGTTACTTACTATTGTATATATAACGTTCACTATCTTGTTATAATTTGCATTTGATAATGGTGACATGTCGTCGCCGAAACGTCATGTTTTTATATCGCTACTCTTTATTCTAAAATGTTTCTCAAAACCTCTCATCAATGCAATATTAAACTTTATATTAAAGAGATGCGGCTTTCCAGTAAAATGAAATAAATTGGGTAAACAAGCAAATAGTAGGAGAAACAAACCGCTGGAAAAACTAAGAGGGGATATTCGAAACCTCGACCGTCAGACAACGGAACCCATACAGCTACAAGATTAAGTTTCATTCCACAAAGGGAATGAATAAAAGGAAGAAATATATGTCTATAGTTAATTATAAGCCAAACTGACTTAGATATAATTGAAGTCTGTACAGGTGGTTAGCAGCCGAGATCGTCTCAGGAGAGAGCAAAGACGAGAATGAACATTTAGAAACTGCAGAACGTAATATAAGTAACAACGTCACAATGACTAGAGATATATATCAAATATGCCTTAAGCTGTGATTAATTAAAAAACGTCAGTAATAAAGATGAAGTTCAGCTGATATAAAGTTTGTGGTTTAATTTTAAAGAAAATACATACCTCAGATATTTAACAAACGTTAAGCCAAAGGTATGGATATCGGTAAACGTTCCTTGTTGAAGGGGGGAATGCTCACGTGCAAGAGAAACCGGAGCGCAAATAGGGAAAGCCTAAAACCACATCGGATACCAAATCCAAAAACCCACTGGTGTTTTCTACGAAAATTAAATGCTCAAAAACGGAAAATTTGCAAACTGCAATGAACGCCAGAACCGAAAAACCGAGAAATTCAATCCCCCCTCCCCGTGCATTTGTTTATCAGATTGATTACTCCACCCGCGGAGCAAATATTTAATTTTTTAATTGAAGTATTTGCTACAAACAAACACTCTGAGCATAGAGAGATTCCTTCTTATTTTTTATTTTGTGAGTCATCACGAGTTCTTTTTTTATTATGGGACATATCGGTTTTTTTTAAGGGATCGTGAGTATTTCAACCTTTAAATTTTAAGACAAGATCTGATGTCTGGGAATCGTGAATATCAACCAAACTATATTTGTTTTCTATTCCAGTACTGACAAAAGGTACCAGACCAATATTCTATTGAGTCATCCTGACATAGCAGGTTTAGTAAATATCGAGCAACTTTATATGTTGTGTTTCTTGTCGTAATATGACGCTTATATTGTCTTTAAACAAGTAGTCAAGAATATAATGCTGACAGAATAGAGGGTCCTAAAGGGGTTAACCGCTGGCCGTAAAAGACGGCCAAAAAATTTTGCAGTTTTGCGTAGAAATTGGCAAAATTTTAACCGTTAGTCGTAGGAAAAGTTGATGGTAAAAACCTTTTCCTATCTGCGATGTGTCATTTTGTGTTTAAGGTAGCTGTAAAATGAAAAAACGTTTTTAACCGTTGGGCGTAAAAGCCAGATTACTTAGATTTCTGAGAGGTGGGTGACTTCGCTAAACACAAAATTTATGTGTTCCATAAAGAGGGTGATTTTTAGTGGCAATAAAACCAGTTTACAATGAGTCAACGTACAGTAATACGTTTTATAGCGTAACGCAGTTATCATCGTCCTTCTTTCCACGCCTTATTGAGCCTTGCTCTGCTGCTGCTATCAAACAACAAGCTGACTCTAATCGACGCTGCGGCACGAGCCAGTATGTTTCGAGCCAGCGGGTGATGCAAGCTCGGGTGGGTTCACAGGATTTCAGGTACGATCATTTCTACTGCCAGACCCCTGATGGACCTCTCGCCTGGAGCGAGTTACAACAAAACAAACTCGAGGAAACCTCTTCCTGACTATAACCACACGGTTTCCTAGTTGCGACAGTTGGCTCATAGACTAAACTTTACATGTGAAAAGCTATCAGGTAGTGGTAACGACGGAAAAGGCGGGCGGGCGGTAGAAAAAAATTAACTGGGGTGTCTGTTGATCCCTATAACCAACGCCAAACGGGCTTCACTGACACTCTCTCTGATGAACCAAATTTAGAATTATATTTTGTTCAAAAGAGAAAACTGAAGGGTCACTAATAGCGGAGCTAGCAGAGCGTAGCCCCATAATTATACAAAATAGTAGTAACCCATCAAGCCGAAAAAATTTGGATGTACGATGTACGACCTTGTAAGGTGCTACTTTTAACGTACGTGGTCAAGTGTACCGCAGGCACGCCAACGCCACTGCTTTGTCCAGTAGTCCAGTGGTCAGTGCACTAGGCTCCGAGTCGGACGACCCGGGTTCTAGTCCTAGCTGGGGCCAGGCGTTGTGCCCTTGAGACGTGCAGGAACAAAAAAAAACGCGAGCTCCGCTTTTACGCCTGGCTAAATCTTTATATTAGACAAAGAATATCAAGCACTTGATGAACCTTTGTTTTAATCTGTGTCGGTTTTGACTATCGTTGACCATTACTATAGGGAGGGGGACGGTTTTTCTTTGAGACGAAATCTTCTTTAAGAACGTTATTTAATCAATATTATAATTTGTTTAATAACATTTTTCTCTGACTTTGTTCACCCTTAATAAGTCAACTCAAATTTTTCCTTACATTTACACATCATCACTAAAATATACATTTCGTCAAAAACTGATTAAAATTTATTTGGAGACCTCTGAATTCTCCAGTACATATTAAAAATTCTGACTTTAAGCTTATCATCTCGACATTTTAACAACTATTATTTGTAAAAAAAAAAAATACACTCATTTACCATATTACGCTGACCACCTCATTTGGGTGATCACGAAGAGATCACTAAAGCTGTGCTCATTTCTGTAGTTAACATACATACTTATTCTTCTTTTCTTTTGACATTTATTAGTGATTCACTGATATAATTTTGCACCTGCCATTTTAAATACCCGTATTTACATTACCTTTTGGTAAAAAAAGTTCTAAAAATTCATTACAACCTAAATAATGATTGAATAATTTTATGATTCTGGATCCTAAAACGTAAAAGCATTTGAATTAAAAAATCAGCAAGTGAATGAAAACGATTCCTTTTGTCCTACGACAAGTCTGAAGGCTTAGTGAAATGTTTAGTTTTCTAGACACGAGATATTTTTTTTTTGACAAATACTTTACTGTAATACTTGAAGAACCTAAACGTTAACTTACATGGCCCACTTCAGAAGTTCCAAGATAGTTCCGTGAGGTTTTACCATCATGATATGTCATTTCCTCGTTTGACAAAAAACTTAAGCGTTTATCCTAGATAAAAAAACTTTCCTGTCAGACAGAATTCATTAACCAAACTTTACCGAGCCCTTAATTCGAATACAAAAATATCTTAAGTCGTACGATTAAAAAAAAATCACCTAAATTGTCACTCTAAGAAATATGATAATCTGCCGTCACTGATGATGAGCATGTTGAACAGCTGTTGCCACGGATACTGCTAAATAGGCCAGATACAGTGTTAAAAGATACGCGCCATACATCCGGGGCACTCTGAATCCCATTAAAGGAATACAGATGGCAGACGAGCTGAGACTGGCAGCTAGAAATGCAGCTGAGATTATGTATTGGTTATCTTGGTGATGTAACTATAAAAAATGACATAATGGAGAAAAATTGGGGAAAAGTGAGGTTTGTAAAACGGTTTGCACGAGAGCAATGTTACACCGATGATGCAGAATGTCGCAACTGCTGGCCGACACTTAAAGTTATTGGAGTAGTAAAGTAAGTACTTACATGTATCAGATGTTGACTATCTGTTACAGTGACGTAAGTACATGGTATACCAATACCTAGTAACATATCTAAATAAATGATCAGGAAACATTTATATTCAAACGTATTACAATGTTGCTTCAAATTTTCCCCGATGAGACTATACCATTTTATTAATGTGTGCGCAAATGCACTGAATCCGTAGACAAGGAACAAGTTTTCACAGGGAAGGAGTCCCAATGCGTCTAGTAGGATACCAAAGCCGCATGCGCTGTTGACAACTCACTAAGAAACTTTTGAATCCACTACACATGTCGTAAGAGTGAGGAGCTGTTGAGGTCGTTTCATTCACGCGTAAGCGAATCATAAAATATACAAGGGTCGCTTTTTACCACCAACGCTTCTAGTACTTCTGTAGTGGTATCTTTGCAGGTTCATAATTCTTTGATGGGTGAAGAACTCTTTAAAATCTAACATTGACAAAATTTCCCAAGCTCGCAAAGCGTTTGCGCGTCTAGAGCAACACACTGACAACGATTCACACTCATCACAGAAAGGATACTTAACAAAGGACCTGCGAAGCAGGCTGATACAGCCATTTGACCAAATCCCTGCTTTGCCATGGCCGTATTTGATATTAAATCTGCGAGAATGAAATGAGAATAATGTAACAAAATAAAACGCAAGGGTTACTACTTAGTATTTAATCAACATGTATTATTGGTAGAACTTTCGATATCTAGAAAAAAGATCATGTCACTTTATTTCTGTATTTCTTATTTGTTTGTTTGTTCTAATTTTTTTTGAAGAGGACGTTCTCTTTTAATTCTGTGGTAATTAGTAATTCATACATGTGAAAGACACAAGGACATTGCTGATAGACTAAACTTCGAGTTTATATAAAACTGTATGTATGTATGCAGGTAAAATGATTTCCTAAACTGATTTCAGCAAACAGGAACTGATAAGAACAAGGGAAGAGTCCAAACTTACCACCTAAACTGTTTCCCCATGCAAGAAAAGTAAGGCCAAGAATTGCATCACTTAAACCAAGCACGATACCGAACATCTACAGATCAAAGAATGGAAACAAAATCAAAGTCGCAAGTCTAAAGAAAATGCCCCATAAGATTTACATCGGGGTGTCAAATAGGGCGCCCAAAATTCGCAAAGCATAACTGACAACAAGAGGTCTTCTATACCTTGAGAAGGTTGACAATCTCATTTGCTGTGATGTAAATCCAAACCACGGAAACCACAAATGCCAGATAGGCAAACAACTGAGGAGAAATTCAATAACGTAATAAGACTAGTAAGTGATCAATTTTAAATCTCATATTGCTGTATCTATACCTGAGAAGACTGAAACTGATTTATTAACGTTTTGCCAGAATCTACCGATCAGGAGTGATGATTAGGATGCGACTGTTTCGCACCACGGGTTTGGGTACTACTACTGATTTTAAAGATTCACCAGGAAAAAAAAGTCCTCGGGGTCTACCAATTTTTATAACTAGTTTATTCAGCGAGTTTTCCCTTGCACACGCGCTTGCTAGTCAACTGAAAGCAAAAAATACACGTGAGGATCGCCTATATCGGTTATAACAAAAACAGAAGCGACAAAAAAGCTTTTTAGAATACGTACAGTGTTGATATAATCACAATTCTGCAAGACGTTATCCCGCTGAAGACGCGATATTATACCAGTCCTTGCACAAAGGCAGAAAACACACTTTTCGAATAAAGCAAAGTCCTTTCAACCTGATCTCGGATTCCCTACTGCCGCTTTCTTAATCTAACTCACCTATATGAACTAATCTTGACAGCCCCTGATATCTTACGCAAACAAAAAAATGATCTATCTTAAATAAACAAAAAATGCTTGATTAAAAACATCTGTCGGCGAAGTGCAAAACAGCGATCAAGAGTGGAAATCCTTCCAACACATTGTTTAATGAAAAATTCGGAAAGATTTCCGTATGACTCCGTGTTGTTCTAAAACAAAGCATTACTCTCGGAGGTAAGCCATTGTTTTCACTGTTTTTTTGCTTTTATCAAATAACTGCATGCGTAACAAAGTATGGGTCATAAAGAAATCTTGCCAAACTTTTGATCTTTATCAATAAAAAGTCCTGAACTATACAACTTTAAAAATGTGATTTTTCTTAACTTGCAGATGTCTCCAAAAATACCTTCCTGAGCAACATTTAAAAGTTCTTACCGAATGGCCCCGAGGCCTCTTTTCACTCTTTGTTGTCATAGCAACAATCAAAGCTAGAACTAGTCCAGCGCAGAGAGCCAGGGCCCAGGCAGGAAGTTTTCCACCAATCATATGACTATAATCTTAAAAAAAAATCTCATCAGTGCATGTTTATTAATAAAATAAACCTCCAGTTTTCGTTACGCGAAAGATCTCTAAATATTAAAATTTCACCGTGTTAAAAAAATGTTTCCCCGTAAGCCCTGTTCATCCTGTAAAAGAGCTTCTGTTTAAAAGAAAAAAATTACCATTTTTTTCAGAGAGAGTTTAACATGACGGAATTGTTTTGCTCGCTAGTTTTTCTTTGTTTTGTTTTGCCCTGTTTTTGTCTCTTCTTTTTTTTAAGGTTTAGTCTTTTTCTTAGCTAGGGGTCTGTATCTTGTGGAAGAAACCTGTTCAGTGGGGACAATACATCTCTTAATAGTTTCCTCAATTCACAAGTCGGGAGGGGTGGCAGAGAGCCATATGATGAAAAATTCCCCCAGGATGTTATAGCTGCTCATTAACGGGAAGTTATGCAGTAAGAAACATCGAGTTCATAAGTGATCTTGTCGTGAGACAACATCGTGAGATAAGAAATCCTTACTATTTGTAGCCACGACACCAAACACAGGCATTGTTAAGCAATGTAAAACATTCAGCCATTTATTCCAATTATGCTCCTCTTCATCATAATCCACCACTGGTATGGTAAGATTCAAACAAAATACTGCTGGAGCCTGCAATCATCGAGAAAATATCTTACTGAATAAATAAGTGCTTGCCCAGGGAATTCATATGATAATATGTTAGAGGGAGGGTTGTCCATTTCTTGCTTTTTATATGCTCATTTGAGACCATACCAAAAATTGAGTCAAATTTTAATCTCAGTTACAGCATTACAGATAAAAATTTCTTACCTTACAAACCATAAAGCATTTCTTGAAAAAGTTACTCCTGTTCCATTCTTCACGGTCAATTGGTTCCAGGCCAAAGAGAAATTTTCTCCAAGCACTAATTTTCCGTTTACCTCCCAAAAGAGGAAAATCTTCCTCTGAAGGAGAAAATTATTAACATTAGTGGACCATGATTCAATCTCTTTGCATCATGCTGTTTATTATCTTGAGCATCTGGTAAGTTAGGGAAGTGTGGTTGACCAGTGTATGAACTTTAACCCCTTCACTGCCCGTGGGAAATGCCAAATTTTTCTAAAATGTGAACGATGAACAATTAGACCACGTATAATATATCATTTTGAAGGTATTTTCAGAGGTATGCAATAAATGACACCAGCAGTTGTGAAGGAGGAAACGGAAAGACTGAGAAGTGCCTTAAGTGAAAAATAAAAAACGTTGAAATTTTTCGTTTGCCTCGTACATATAGGGTATACCACTAAACTATAGCTTAAACTCAGAAGCTCTCAGAGCATTGATTGTTATAAGATATTACCTTGACAAAACCGTAAAAAGACAAAAAGTTCCAAAGGTTGCAGGAGTGGTAAACCAAGTCTTACAATGAAGAGGGCTATGATTTTATGCATTTTAATGATCTTTTAGTAGTGAACATTTCAGAAAGAAGATAAAATATTGAGCATGTAACGGCATCTCGTGACATATGGCTTTTCCAGGCATTAAAGGGTGAGGGGAAGCTAACCCAGTGCTTAAAACAAATAAACACTTGCTATACAATTACCTGAATCGGATGAATACTGCCTGGTAAGGGCTGGGGCGTTTTGAAATGCTGGAGCTATGAGGGTATTCTCAGAAGAAATCAGGGCACCTATAAAAAGAGGAAAGTACAAGTTTGATATTTGAGTGCAGAAAAGTCTTCTTTGATGTCCTTAAGGCAGATATTGTGTGACCCAGCCATACACATGCTTCAGAAATTATGAAATTCAACCTATGTATATATGGAAGATTTCATGCTGCACCACTGTGCACTGTGTTCTTGGGCAAGACACTTCGCTCTCAGAGCTTCTCTCCACACAAGAAGTATAAACTGTAACAGTTGCCAAAAAAGACTGTTAGGGGAACCTTATGACATGTTAGTGGGAGGGGGAAGGTGGATAACCTGAGCCTGACTTGAATGATAACCCCATCCCTGGGAAGTAGCAATTATAGTTCTGGTTGCTTCATGCTACAAAACCACAATAGGCTCTGGCTTAATTGCTTCACATCCTATTTCCTACTGCCAATGGATTGGATACCACCACTGAATTGACATAAAATACTTCCATTAGGCATGTCAAATTTTGCTTGTTACCCACAACTAATGGTAATTTTATTGTGAGGCTGAGCTGCATGTAACTTTATCACTGTAACAGTACCTGAGATCATACTATGAGGCGTAAGAGAAATGTTTCTGCGCGGGACATAATTTTTTTGTGAATTAACACTTGAAGCCCAGCTGGAGTGTTCATTAGCATCTCCCACAGTATCCAATTGTCTTCTTGCTCCTGCTGAGTTGCTTGTGTCAAATAATTCTCCTCTGGATGCTGTTCATTAAAATGGAAATTTTCAATTTAAATCAATATGTCCACAATTTTTGGGGTGTGTTTGCAAAGTAGACAAGGCGCATACAAATAAATATGTGGTATTTATTTAACATTTATGTAATCAGTCTTATAATGTATATTTTTTAAAATGTGACTGTACTCCCATGGGTGATAAAAAGGTTGAAAACAAACCTATCTTTGAATCAGGTTGTATTTCCACTTGCACTGCCTTCCTTTTCCACCCCTGGTAGATGTAGCGTGCAATAATAACCACAGCGATGTACACAACATAAAGCGCTATGAAACCTTTTTAATAAGGGAGAGATTACAAATGAGTGAAGCTAGAGTAAGTCTCTTTGAGCTCTTATACTCCTAGAAGTGATTAACAAGTAACTTCTCCCCATGATATCAATACAGTTTTCACCAAACTGGTGGTGAGAATACTCAAACTTGTCTAGTGGAGGTTTTTATTTGGTCATTCTAAAACTATATTCTCGTAACCATTTTACGTGGAAATGTGTCGCTGCCAGAGGGGTGAATTAACAATTAGATCTTGAGAGTGAACATATTACAAATGGGTTTTCAATGACTCATTATCATAAGGCAGTATCACAGAATAACTCCTTTGCATTTCAAAAATTAAATGTAATGTTTTTCTTTTTTAACTGATGCAGAGGTAGATAAACTGGGTTAGATTGCTGTTAGTTCAAGAGTTTCTTTAAGTTGGTGAAATAACCATTAGCCATTGGCAACAAAGAATAAATGAAAACAACAGGAACTACAATGCCTGAGGTACAACAGTCTTGAAAAATCCCACCAAAACAAAAATCCTACTTCTTGAGTATACAGCTAACATCAGTATTTTCCCTAAATTTGGTTAGAAAATTTAGAGCAATTTCTTTTTAACTTAAAAGGTTTTCACCTTTGATAAAACAAATTTAAAGTTTAAAAAACTTTGTAAGACAATAAAACAAGCAGTAAAAATGACATGATCATTATTTCATGTTCAGTTATTAATAATACTTATCTTGGAGCTTTCAACATATCTTTAAGTTAATGATATTTTACCTATTGCCACTGCCATTGTAATTTTTTGCCTGTACAAGGTAATAAAAGCCCATGACACAGCACCCAAGTAGAATAATACGTCCCTGGTAAAAGGACGGTTTGTCAGGGTAAGGTCATTTGAGATAAATGATATTACCCCAACAACCACTGTTGTTACAAAAATACCAGCACCTGAAGAAATAAGATCAATAGAAAAAGTTACAGATATGTAATTCAGTGTCTCCTTTCAGATCTGATTTACTTACATTTGATTGAGCTTTAAAAGAAAACTCTCATCATGCGGTTTAAAAGAATACTTTTAACTCTACTCATGACTTCACTCATATTGTTCAAAGATTTAACTTTTTCAACCATCACCAAGGGACTAAATTTTTTTGTCTTTTTTGGGACAGTCCACATCAACTGAATATACTTGATTGGATAAAACAGTATCTGGATTAAACCTGCACCATGAGCATGTACTATTACATTACTTTAAAATACAGCTGTAGATTCTTGCATCCTTTTGGTGTTGAGCAAAACAATTGATGGTACACTGCATATGCTGCAGTTTAAAATTAATTCAGATTTTAATATCATCTAAAACTTGTTCAATTTGCTTTTTCCTTGTGTAAAGACATTGGTAGTACAGCCTGGACAAAGGTATAAAACTGTCTATCAGATCAAAATCAATTTGACCAGAGATCCATTTCAACTTCAACACATACATTCATAAGATGTTTCATAATTACAAGACAAGAAGCACATAATTAGACGCAAACTATAACCTAAGGTTATTCAAATCAAGGGTCATCCTTGGGTTGGATTTGTGCTAAAGATTTTGCGCAGCTTACCAAAGAGGGCTTGTATCACAAGCTGTACTCCACTTTGATCTCTGTTCTGAGTGAAACCTGCCAGAGAACTAAAGATGTCAGGGGCACCATTGCCAAAAGCAAGGAATGTAACTCCCTGGAGTGTGTAACTTTGTTAAGGAAACTCATTGTGAACTCCAATGGTTGGGCTTCTCCCAGTCCTTTGGGCACGTAAAGAGTAGTTTAAAAGAAGCTATTTACTAGCTTTAAGCCCAAAAAAGATAGAAAAAGCCTCCATAGAACTACTTCACTTTAGATAATGAGTTTGAGATTTCTATCATTTGAGAGTTGAAGAGAGAGAGGCCCAAAGTGACGATCAGGCAAACACATTGAGAACAAAATTGAGAAACACATTGAGAACTTGAACTGTTTTTCACCATTTTAAATCTGCCAGCTTTTCAAACCTTAACTACCAGGTAGAATTCCAACCAGTACATTTATACTACTCTGACTAATACTGTGGTATATGCAGGCTTACGTGCTTAAGCCTGACTAATTTTGAGAGAGATAAAGATGAAGGTTGAGTAAAGGATACGGCAATGTTCTGGCTGATTCCTAAAGTTCTAGAAATCACTGTTAAAGATGGACAGAGGCTGCAAGGGAAACAGTCCATGTGCAATGAATTTCCCAAAATTAAGTTTATTCAAAGAAAAAAAGTTTATCCATAAAAATCATTGAAGGATATCTCCTGATTGAACACATCTTCCAACTAAACATCAGACAAGGATATGAATATAATTACAAAGATATGAATGTGAAAAGCATATTGTAAAACAAATTTTTATGTAATTCTTCACAGAAAGTCATCAACACCAGAAACCCAACCACCATGTCAAACTTACAACCAAGTTCAAGACCACTGTGGTTTCACTACAATTTACCCTTTCACTCCCAAGATCTACTTAGTAATTCTCCTTACCATCTGTCAAACATTGCTTATAATTGAAGTTCTGAGAATTAAATGACAAATCTATGGTAATCCCATTAAAAATTGATATTTTTCTTTATTCTCATTACTCAAATGTCTGCTTGGTATTGATATCTTAGAGAGAAATTTTGTCTTGGTCTGACTGCTGGATGTGAAATGGTCAACATAACACAACCTAAAGAGAGTAGTTTTCCAACTCACTAGTCATCTGCTGTCAGTCCAAGGGTGATGAATAGAAACACCAGCCATATACCCTAGTAAAAAGAAGTTATAAAAATTGCAATATACACTAAATAATTATTTTGTCTTTCAAAATTATTTTAGATAATAGCACATGCCGACCAGTTACAGCTTTGAGACTAAATTTTTCCTGAGAGCTAGCCAATGCCCTGATAATGTTATAATAATTTACAGTAGTGCTGCAAAAGTAAAAGTACTCACAAGTAAACAGTAGGCAAGAGGACAAACTTTACTTGAAAACCAACAGTAAACAATCTGCATGTAGGGTATAGATCCTTCATTACAACTTGGATGCGACTTGACAAACTGGCAGCGGTATGAATTATTTATGCCACGCACAGAAGAACAATGCTGTCAGTAAAGGAGGAACCAATAAAAATAGTCAGTAAGTTGGTAATAGAGAGCTTTTGAAAAACCATGAAATAAATAATACACCTTTTTGCTGTAATAGAGTTTTAAGTCAGCTACAGCACCATAGCAAGACATAACCATTTATAAAGAATCAATATGGTACATTTTGAGCTCTGTGATGTTGAATAGAGATAGATGTTCTGAGTTTTAAGTCAGCTACAGCACCATAGCAAGACATAACCATTTATAAAGAATCAATATGGTACATTTTGAGCTCTGTGATGTTGAATAGAGATAGATGTTCTGGGGTATGATTTACGACGAGGATTAAGTTCCTCCCTTCTACAACCCTTTTTTAATAATAATATGTTATATGTTATTATTTAAATAAAGTTGTTATAATAAATAAATAAAATGTTCTTGTTTGCTCTACTAGTATCAGGGATAAAGTAGAAACCAAAAGCCTAGCCCCAATAAGGATTGAAACTTCTGCTTTTGTGATCAAATGGTCTACCACCGAGGTACAAAGCACTGAGGTATAAGGAAATCCTTGGTGAGTTTGGCCAATAGTCACTAGAATTTATCCAACACAATGGTTACCAGACTACCATTGCATTTCAACTCCTTGTGCCGGACAAGATTTTTTCTTTGTCTGATGCTGGTACGAGATGATGTCATCTTTCTTTAATTAACTTCTGATCAATCAACCTGTTTGCTAATATCCTCCTCTGCAGAACTTCAATATGAGAACTACTGAGCAGATAATTGCATGACTCATCCTCCTGTGACTGATGAGAATGGTTTCAGCCAATTAGCTCAACTCCAAAATAGATTTTGAGCGTGTTATGTTGAGGGATTTCATATTTTATCTGGTACGAGATCCTTATGCTGCATTACATCAATACATATTCATGAATATTCAGGATTTTTGAAATACAGGAAATCTGTTGTTCCATTAATTTCGTGACAACTTGTCAGTCCAAAATTATGTACCAGGTGATCGTGTTACTCAGTGCAAGTCAGTCACCCAGTGCAAGGTTAACGTAAAAAGGCAGGATCGAACTTCTATATTGGCAATTGACCCCACAGATTAACAACATAAGACAATAAAGGAAAAAGGAAATACTCCGTGATGTTTTACTTTCGAAATGGAAATATGGATTAAATTTAATATAAGCTGAGCATTACTAAGCATATTCATTTAGTAGGGCTACACGATCGCTGAATACCACTTGGTTACCGTAATTCGTTCTACTTTTCATCCCTCATATCTTCCTGTATACAAGAATATTTTGAGGTCTATTGAAATTGCGCGAATATAGGCTTTACTGTTAACGCAGCTCTACTAGGCTGACCTGTTGTTGATTTTCATCTGAATCTGCTTCCAAAAGCTTTCGAATGTTTCTAATACCCTGCTGAAGATGTGAAGAAGTCCCTTGCAGTGAAATGAGAGAGATCGTCAATATAAGTGTCCCAAACACTTTCGAGGATGACTTCGGCATATCTGTTCTTGGTACAAATTGTATGAAGCTGACTACAAGGGTCTAAGAATTTTGCTTCACTTTCAAAGAAATTTGTTTTAAAGAAAAGATGACGAATGCCTTCTCTCGAGCCGACGGTGACTTTCACCTAGACTGGAAAGTGATAAAGTAGTAAGCGTGGACTTTCTGTTTCTAAACACAGACTGTACCGTAAAGCGCCATTAATAGATTGTTTTCAGTCACGTGATCTCATTTTAAGTGAAGTATATACAAGCATGTGTGGGGTGCTATATAACAATAGGACAATATCATATAACAACAAATATTTGCTGTAAATGAAATATTTAAGGCTATGATGAATATATGCATAGCATTGTTTCGTATCAGTTTGGAGCTAATCACATATATATTCATCCAATTACAAAGATATTTAGAGTATGCGGAAATATTTACGTCCTTTTTCATTCACATATATCTAGGACAATGCGAAATTATACATAGATCATTGTTTACAAATTAATACGGTTATTATGCAGGCTATCAAGTTGGGTCAGCGGTGATACTTTATTGCAAAGTAAGTAGGTCATGTATGGGGAATTATTATGTCCTCAATGTGGACTCCAACCAAGAGATGAATTTAAAAGGAAAATTTATTCCACATTCACAATCAATCGAGTAAATTGAACGCATCCGATTACGTTGAAGACGAAGGTAAAAATGATGTAAATGATGTAATTGATGTAATCGATGAAAAGGTGAAATGATGGTTCGACTAAAAGGAATAATTACGACTATAAATTATAATAGATCTAAGAAAATTGACAAACGAAATGAAAACAAAAAAAAAGACCAACGACTTACAAATATTTCCTCCTATTGATGTGAACGGGTGGAGTAAAATAAACGATGATTTGAAAACAAGATCTTGCCGTGACGAAAGCCAACACTGAATATATAATACACTGAAAAACTAGAACTTAAAGGCGTTATCAAAAGAGTCACATGAAGATTAAGGTTAAAATTTAAATCGAGGGTAACGCACTTGCGTGACCGGTCACGCACGTTTGAATCTTACACTCAATACATATTATGTCCTATACTTTACATACATAAAATGTCCTATACTTCACTTATAATATCCTACACATACAGTGCAAAAGAAGACTAGATACAACTATACACAGCTATACAGAGCTATAAACAATCATACATAGCTATACACAGCTACACAGAGCTTTGCACAGCTATACAGGGCCATATAAGGCTATACACAGCTATGAAGAGTTATACAGCGCTATACACAGCTATACAGAGATATACACAGCTATACACGGTTATACAGGGCTATGCACAGCTATGCAGAGCTATACACAGCTATACAGACATACACACAGCTATACAAGTCGAATACAGGGCTATACACAGCTATACCGAGACAAACACAGCAAACAATTCGTTCAGCGGTAATATTAAGATTGCATTCTGCTTCATGTCAAATGGAGTTGTAATATTCTGGTCGCACTTTTGTGAAAGCCTAACGTCAAAAGTGATTGCATTGTAGTAGATGGTATTGAAATATCGAAGAGAAATATATCACCTGGATTAAGATTAGATTATGTCAGTGTGTGTTATTAACTGCCAGTGTTATGATTAATGTGTAATAGTTAACCATGATTGTGTGACTTCCGTTGGGTTATGAGGTGCAAATAGCTCAGCATTGGGCATGCAGTTTTTTTAATCATCAAAGACAAAATATCGGGGAGCCAATTTTATTGTCAAAGATTGCCTTGAAATCTTAAATTCGTTTTTTCTTTCATAATCCCTCAAACATAAACCCAAATATTTATCTTTTTGTTATATCAATGTTGGTTTCGGATGAAAGAGAGCTTGAAATGGGATACTGTGGAAGATTCTTTTTGATTGCGAAAGCCATGAATAAATACCCAGAGCTTACTTCGTTTTTTTCCTGGAATAGATGCATTTGGCGCAGCATTAGGATAACCTGGTTAAGATATGTTCAGTGCAAATTAATGTTTAACTTATTTACTTCTTGATCTTTGTATATGTCTTTTACTTGTTAGCCACTCAATTATTGGGAATTGTTTGCTCCCAGATTTTATCTCACCGTTTCATTGATGTTATACTCGATATGTTTTTGGCGTGTTTCACTGAGATCCCTGTTTCCATCATAGCAAGCTTTTCAGTGTGATCACATTTATCCTACAAGATATTCGCCATTTGTACAAACTGACATTGTATAAATCTACAAGTTTTGCAGTTTCACTGTTATTTAAGTCTAAATAACTCAGGAGAGTTTAAAACATACGAGGATTTTAATTTCAGCAACTGTTTTAAGTATAATCTTCAGTGGCTATCTGGAAATACCCAATCACTTTCAGGTGGCGGTGGCTGGTGATATCACTTTGTGTTATGGGAGACACTATGTAGGACGTCATTTGAGTCAAATGGAAAGTTTTTGTCACTTGAGTGCTAGATGAGTGCTTGATTTTTTCTCCCTAACATTTCGAAAAAGAAATCTCGTCGTCGTTCAGTATCAATGGATGTTTATTAGTCGTTAGCGTTAAGCATTTGAGCATAATCATTCCAGCCTGTTTAGATATTTTGCTTCTTAGTTCATCATGGGAGTTGTTTTCTAAAGCTCATTGCGTGCAACATCCTCTTCGCGTCAGATATTTGAAAGCTCACTTGCTCCAAGATTTATCTTACTATCTCGGTGAAGTCATTTCTTTGGTTTGCTTTTCGTGTTTTTCAGATCACTGTTTATCCCGTGGGCATAATGTTACCTAACATTATACCCACGTTAAAAACACTCATTTTGCAAGGGGGAAAAGGAATTGCAAGAAAGAACAAACATATCGTTGTTTTATTATGGAAAAATCACAACCTCTCATTAGTTAAACTTGTTTTTATTGATTAACGCACAGGAACTGGCCTTGAAATACATGAGGAGTATGCCTTATTACTTTCCTCACAGCTTTATCTGAAGACAAATAGAATGTTCACAGTTTTTACATGGAAAACATTTCTCTCCCCGCCTGGGGCATGATGTTTCCCCACAAGGATCCGGAAAACATGATCCAGGTGAGGCTATTCCACATGCAACTGAAATCAGCAAAAACATAATCAGCGTTGACATTTTGCTAAGGCAAGACTTTTTTGTTACGTTAGGCAATTTGCTAAATGACATAAAGATTAGCATATCGTTAAAAACAGAATAAAAATATATTAAAATTGTACAATTGACTATATCACTTCACTAACAATAGAAGAAATGTAGAAAAACTGGAGAATTTTCCAGAGCAGCAACACCAAAAGCATCATTAACTACATCAGATGCTTCATACCTGTTTGGCCTCTTTTAATTCTGGCGCCAAAAACCTACGGAGTAATACATCATGTGTAAGGAAAATATTTATATGACAATTAGTTATTACACTCAAACTTAGTAATAATGATTCAGAACTAGAAAACAACCATATGATATGGATTCAAATTTTCGCTAGATCTGTAACACTCTTGCGTAAATATTTGTAATCAACTTTTCTTGTAGCTAAAATTTACTCCCTTTAAATTCCTTTCCATTAATGAAAGTTCCTAAACATATATGGCACTACGCTTTGTATTTCATATATATTTGCTCGAAGATATTAGCCCCCGAATGCTACACTGTAAATTCGAGGGTAAATAAAGTTTATTGATTGATTGATTGATATAAAATGTTAAGCTTAAGCTCTTACGGGACATAGGGGTATTTTCAGGGCGCGGGATATCTCTTCTTTTATTTACCCATGAACGAAAATCCTTGATGACCTTTTAGAAAGAAACTATTAAGATTTTTGAATTATCAACTCACTTTGTACATAAATAGCATAGCCATGTACACCTTCATAGTTTCAAATCTTCAGCTAAAACCCAAACGGAACTGAACACTTTAGAGAAATTTCCAAAAATCAAGACATTGTGGACTCGCATTCGCGAAGGTCATTATATCAATTCAATGCTCTTGAGAGTAAACCACGAAATCTAGTATAAAAGATCTAAATACAGAGAGCGAAATGAAGAAAATACGTTTGATTAATCAGTATCCAACTCACTTATCAGTTTGTTTGACGTTAATGTACTGAACTCTGGCTGGAATGATATATTCTTCAAGAACCTCTGAACTGTACATGACTCAGCAATAAACAATGACACCGACTACTGTTTAAAAATTCCTTGTTCATATGTTTTGCTTGACATTTCTCGTCACACATTGTTGATTTACAGACGTCAGACGTCATTTCAGGGTAGTTAGTTTTCAACACTTTTTTTCAATTGAGTAATATTTTTAAATGCATGCTGGAAAATTACTTTGAGCGAGGGTTTGATGCATATCGATGTACAAAGCTAGTTTTCAAGGACGGGCTAACAAAGACCTCTCTTCTCGGTTGTCAAAGGCATCTTCAGTTAATAACTACAATGACAAGAGGAAAACTAGAATTGTAATAATGATATTTTGGCATTTCCCAACAGAAAACACTGGTCCTTCAAAAGCGTCTGGACTAATTTGATAGTTGGTAAAAGTAAAGCTACAACTGCTAAAAGCGTTTGCTTTAAAATTGACATATGAACTCTAACAAGGAAAAGAATGATAAAATTATGATCACCTCCTGTATGTATCCATTAGCGCACCGAAGAGGTATATATTTTCTCTTTATATTAGCTTTACCTTCTTTTAACTTTCTTGCTCGTCACAAATTTTCTTATGGTCAATATCAGCCATACTTCAGAATTATATTGTATTACTTATCTTACTTATATTACTTGGCAATACCCACATTGATATTGAACAAGGGGTCACGAGGTTACCATCAAATTTCATTTGCTTTATATCAGTGCAACTTTTAATGAAATTGAAACATAACGACCATGAAGCAACACACAGTCACACGCTGTCCCTGATGTGATTTAGGAAAAAAACAGCGAAGTACCAATACAGCGAAGTACCAATCGAGAATAACAACCAAAATATGCTCGGAAGCACCCGTGCGGAATTCTGCGCTAAGAAACTGCGAAATCGTGAGGGCGATTTAAAGTTGGCCTGTTCGCCTTCTCTCTACCATCAAACCTTTGGCCTTCTTTGGACGAAAATAATTTTTGACTCGTTTGGATGAACTGTCAACCTTTCTCGAGAGAAACATCCCCTTTGTCACAAGG